CCAGAAGGCCAAATAAAGTGCTTTAACTTTCGCATGAAACACAGTTTCATGCTCCCTGACATGGCTGCATCAACGCTACTGCTGTTCCTGAAACCACACCTTCTTTCTTTGCATGCACATTTGGGCGGCATTATGCTAATATTTCCACATAGTGAGGTAGATATGTGGGGGCGTGTTAGAACGATCCGTTTTAGGTAGGCGTGGCTGAATCTTAACTTTTATAAAGAATATCTCTTTGGATTTGAGACGCATCATATGACCCCTTTAAATTAGCTTAAATTTTAATATTTCTGTTTTCATTTTAAATGTAGTTCTGATAATTTTGTTGCATTTGTCATTTTTTTATTTCTTTATTTTTACAAATTTACAAATGTTCTTAAGTTTTATTTTTGGCGTTTTATGCCTTTTATTGAGATAGGACAGTAGGTCGACAGGAAGCGAAGTGGGTGAGAGAGAGAGGGGGGTGGGATCGGGAAAGGTCCACGAGCCGGGACTCGAACTCGGGACGCCCGAAGCGCAAAGGCGCTACATGCCGGCGCTGCCCACGAGGTCATTGGTGCAGACCCAAATTTACAAATGTTTAATATAGTTTTTAATTTTTATTTCAGTTTTAGTTATTTTACTGCATCAAATTAAACTAAATAAAAACGACAAACGATGTCTATGGTTTTTATATTTTAAGTTAAAGTTTATTTTATTTCAAATCATGAAAATGTATTTTATGGTTTTAGTTAACTACAATAACCCTAATGCATTATGAGGGGGAAAAAACTGGAAAAATCACTAAATCATTATATAACTTTTCTGCTGGTATTTCTGTGCTAAAACCAACATTTTATTCACAAACCACCTGCAAACAAGGTGTTATCTGTTCTGGTATATCACTGCCACATGTGCATTTATCTGCATCTTAGCTTAGCGGCACCTTCATGTGCAAGTTTGGCCGACTGTAGATTCAAAACATATTATTCTTCACAAGCAAGCATTCAGAACTGGCCCCTAAGATGAGAAATCGTGCTGTGCACATAACATTTTGCACAAATATATAATAACAGGTTTGCACAGTAATATGATTTGGATAATTCCTTTAGCGAATCCGGTGTTAAAATAATGCAGGAGGTGAATGCAAATAAATGCAGCGGGTTTAATTAATTCTTAGTGATTTCTGCCCAGAGAGTGAGCCTACAGTTTGTTGGATTCATCATTATTAAATTACTTAATAGTAGATTTAATATTTTGTTCATCTGCTCTACCTGTTCTTTCTTCACTTTCTTTTTTGGCACTGGTTCCACAGTCTTCTCTGACTCAGAACGGCTTCGCACAGATCGGCGCTGCTGCTTTCTCTCTGATATCACACAGACACAGACAAGGTTTTCACAGATTAAACTTATACTGCAAAGGACATTTGAATATCGTTGCAAAAGGGAGTTTAACTCTTTTCAATAACTCTGTGTTTGCGCTTATATATACCTGTGGATTGCTCGGCGCTCTCCTGGTCACTCCAGGCTGAGGGAGACGCAGCTCGCTCTTCTTCACTGGAACATGTCTCTGCCTCTGCCTTATCACTGGAGTCCTTTGTGGGATAGATTGACAAACATTAAAAAAAAAAAAACTACCAACAGCTGCCTGGCAGAAAAGGTGCAATTTCCTCTTAAGCAGCGTGCATGAAGAGAGCGCGCAGAGCCCTAATTTTGGGTTAGCTAGAGCTTGGTAATTAACTTTGAGCAGTAAGCTATAATAGCTGAAGATGTACATTACCAGCATTTCAACCAAACTAAATGCATTATAGAGGATAAATAACGTTTCACAGCATTTTTGGTGACATTAATTCTACCTAACCAGCAAGTTATTATATTGCAGCATACCTATTATCTAGTTAGCATACCCTGGTTTAAATGAGCCAGACAGGAAAGTTAGCTAATATTGGGAAATGTGGGTGCAACAGTATACATATTTACAACATAATACTAAACGTATAAGTGTACTATTTACACAGGGATGCAAATAGCATCCAGTGTTATTTTAGTATTTTTGTTCCATTGTAGTATTTATTACTATTTTGTTGTGCTGAACATTTTTTATTTGTTTTTTTTTATAGTTTTCCCAAGTTTCTTCTAATATGTTATTTTTTCAGCTCCATTTCAAATAACAAAAATGAATGTTACCACTAACAACACATCAGTATATGCTGATATAAAAACAAGATATAAATTTAAGCAGTAGTAAATTTAAGCAAATGTAATTAACTACATTTTAGCAATCTCCATTTGATCAATTTCATTAGACAATTTTATTTCAATGCATAGTGAGTCACTTGTGGGCAACTACATTTTTGATCTGAGAAAGTGTAGCTATTAAAATGTATTTTTTAAATGATGTTTCAGAGTTTCTTTGCTTAAGCTTTTCTTTACAAAATGAGAGTGATCGATGCTGCCATTACATGATTTACAATACCACACTCCCCTTGTGTTCATAATTTTTTTTTCACTTTTACCTCAGGTGACTGAACCTGATCGCTGTGCCTCTCCTCACTCTCCATCTTCTTAGGTAAGTCCAGCTTTTGCTTTGGGAGCTGCCAGTCGCATTTG